AAAGTTTTTTTTATTTTTGTTAGCACTCGTCCTAAAATTTTAACAAGATTTTATTCAATATATTTTAAAATTTCTTATAAAATTTTGATTCAATTTGATAATTTGATTAAAAATAACAACCAATAAAATAAAATTAATAAAATTATAAATTTCTTATTAAATTTTTGAATTTTTCTAAAAAAATTAAAGTTTTAATCCAAACTAAAGCATTATATTAAAAAAACTCCATATAAAATTTGAGAATTTTTTAATACATCAATTAAAATTCACAAATTCTTTTACATAAAATTAATTAAAAAATATTAATAAAATGTTTACTCGGTTGGACCTCATACACGCCTCCATCCATGTACATGAATATCTCACTTCAAAAATATAATGTGAAAATGGATATGGAGCCCACCATTGTACGTGAACCTTGTGCGCGCAGACCCACATATATTTTAAAAAGAATGAAAACTCCATCACGAAACGGAAAAGGTTTTTTTTTTTTTGACCTGTTGATAAAAGATACAACAAAGACTTTATGTAATATTTATATTGCTAAACTATAAACCTTTTTAAATTTAGATTTTGTAATTTTCACCTATTAGAGTCTAATTCCAACCGAGTCTTTAATCATAACTTACAAATTTTATACAAAATAAAATATATTAATTTTAAAAACAAAACATGATGCAGCTATTTTAGCAAGATCGATTGTGGGAAATATGAATATTAAAAAAACACTATTGATAAAACTAAAATAGGTTTGTAGCAGGAGTTAGCAAAACAACTATATTATTTAATTTGAAAGGTATTTAAAAATATTGTAATAGTTATATTTTAAAATATTTTTATTTAGAAATATATTAAAATAGTATTTATTTATTTATTAAAAATTATTTTTAATACTAATATATCATAATAATCTAAAAATATATAAAAAAAAAATAAAAAATTTTTTTTAAAAAACTTTTAATATATAAAATCAATGTGAACACAAATGCCATCTTCACATTTGAACCCACCCACATGCGAGTGCATTGTCATCAAGCTCGAGCTGACAGATTCTGTACAATGCCAGGTGGCAAGTAAGACGCACAGAAATGTTCTGTAGAGTAGCGCCCAACAAGCAAAAGCCATGATGGCAAAAACAAAAACGAAGAACTCTGTATTACGCATTTACAAGATGCTTAATCACTTCCTAGGCAAAAACAAATTTATAAGGAAAAAAATCGAAAAGTTGTAAGAGCCTCGTTTTGTCATCCGATATCTCAATTCGAAAGTTTTTTTTTTTTTTGAAAATCTCAATTTAAAAGTTGAAAAGCTTAATTTTCTCTTTTTGAGAATATATATATATATATATATATATATATATATATATCATTGATTTTAATTATCTAAAACCAAGGCCTCATTTATTTAAGTATTTAAAATAATTTACGCAATATTTTTTTATGTTTATTTTTTATTAAAAAATTAATCAAAGAAAAATACTTTTCAACTAAACAAATTTGATTTAGTTTCCATAAAAATATTGTTTTTTAGTCTTGGTTGAAAATATTTTAAAGAAGTAATAGAAAATTTAAAAATATCATATTATTTACTTATTATAACAAATTTAACTTTTAAATTTTTGATTACTATATATTTTATTTTAATTTTTTTTAATATCACCCTTTTTAATTTAATTTTTATATTAATTTTGATTTTGATTTTTATAATTATTACTTCACTTAAAAATTATTATTTTTTAATTAAAATTTTTTATTTATCAAAATTAATCCTTATTTTTTTGTTTGTTACTTTATTTGAAATTATAATTATAATTATTTTAATTTCATTATCTTTTAATTTTTTTATTTGTTAGATTTAATCTCCATTATTTTAATTATTATTTATTTTATTTGAGATAATTTATAAAATTATTATTTTTTTTAATTTTATTTTTTTAATTTTTTAATTTATAAGATTTGTTTCTCATTATTTTAATAATCTTAAAAAAAATTAATAAATTATTTTTCAATTTAATTTACTTGATATAACCAAATACTTAAAAATATTTCTCAATTTATTTTTCATGACATTATCAAACATAAAAAAATAATTTATTTTTTATAAAAAGTTACATTTCATCAAACAAACAAGCCGAAATTCTTTCAAAAATCATTTTTTATATAAAAATACATTAATTCACAGTAAGTTCATTCAATTGCGTACATGCATCAGCAGCAAAGGCAGGAGTAAAAAGAACAGGGAATAAGAAGACCAACCATCAAAGTGCATTTTTTTATTTTAAAAAAAGGTTCTGTTAATCCAGTTCTGTGCGGTAAGAAATATGAAAAGATTTGCCTGATAATTTCTAGCATTTTCACATGACAGTATTATGTAGCCTATTCTTAACGATTTTTTTCTTTTTAAAATATTTTTTTTTCAAATAACACCATTTAAAAAAATTATAAATTAACACATTTTATACATATTATAAATAAAAAACAAAAAATATAAATATATTATTTTTCAAAAACACGACATTTCAATTACTAAAAAGCAAAGACAAGTGAACGATCGACTCTTGTGTTTAAATGGATCAGACTCACGTGCAAGGAAGAGATTTAACAGGTACACACACGAGTAATAAATATCTCACTTAAAAAATAATATGAAAAGTAAAGTGCTTAAATATAATATGAACTCATAATACACTGGTGTAGCCTTATACATAAATATCTCACTTAAAAAATAATGTGAAAATGGAGATGGAGCCCACCATTGCATGTAAACCCTTGTGCACGCGGACCCATATATCTTTTTAAAAGAATGAAAACTCCCTTACGAAACGGCAGTCTTTTTTTTTTGCTTTGCGTGGGTTGATAAAAGATACAACAAGACTTTGTGTAGTATTTATATGGCTAGACTATAAACCTTTTTAAATTTAGATTTTGTAATTTTCATCGATTAGAGTTTAATGGGATGTAAGTCTTAAATCATAATTTATAAATTTTATAAGATATATTAATTTTAAAAATATTGTGGTTGTTAATATAATAATCTAAAAATTTATATATTTATTAATTTTAAATTTATAAAATTAATAAAAATAAACTCAAATTAGTTTAGATATTCATATTAAAAATAACATGATGTAATTATTTCATCTGTATTTGTTTGTTAAGAAAGTAAAATAATAGTGCCATTTAATTTAAAATATTTTTAAAAATATAGTAGTGATTGTTTTTTAAATTATTTTTAATATTAACATATTAAAATAATATAAAAATATGAATTTAAAATAAAATAAATTTAAATTCTTTTATAAAATCTTTTAAAATACAAAATCAGTACGAGCACAAATGCCTTCTTCACATTTGAACCCACCCACGTGCGAGTGCATTGTCATCAAGCTCGAGCTGACAGATTCTGTACATTGCCAGGTGGCAAGTAAGACGCCCAGAAATGTTTTGTTGGGTAGCGCCCAACAACCAAAAGTCATGATGGGTAAAACAAAAACAAAGAACTTTGTATTCCGCACTCACAAGATGCTTAATCACTTTTTAGGCAAAAACAAATTTATATATAAAAAAATTTGAAAAGTTGAATAGCCTCTTTTTGCCATCCGACATCTCAATTTGAAAGTTGAAAAGCTTAATTTTCTCTTTTTGAGAATATTAATTAATTAATTAATTAAATTTGGTTTCAAAGCTCAAACCGAAATAATATCTACTCTCCCCCAAGAAAAGCTCAAAGAAATTCAATGATCATGTGTATTTCTTAACGTGTATTTAAAACCTAATTTAATTGTAATTATAGAAAATCATGCACGCCAATAGGAAATCCTTGAAAAGTATACGATCACACCATTTTATTTATTATTATTTCCTATTTAAATTTGGTTTAGACACCAAAAATATTCTAAACTATTTTTTTGTCCAATTGTAAAGGGTATTTTCATATCGACTGACCAAATATTTCATTTAAGATTTGAATCTAGAAAATAAAAAATAAAGTTTATCGCTTTAATTATGGCTAATTCCTTGCTATTAAAGTATTACTAACGTTAAAATGTGAAAAATCACCCATAATTAATGAATTTTGCTATTTTTTTTTTTTGAAGGGTATAAATGTGCTTCATTTTTTTAAGAAAAAAAAGGTTACTATACTTGAATCCTAAACTATAAGACCTCAATTGAAATAATAGATAAACATTGAGGACCGATATGTAGCTATCTCAAACTTTTCCCTCGGCCACTAACCTTGCTTGATGATCTTACCAAGAAAAATGAAAGCCCTTTTCCCATTTGCACTACCGTTACAGCTCAGACGTAAGGCCCCACCACAAAATTAAATTAAAGAAACCACAATCAATAAATCTGAGACGTTCCCCATAACGTCTATTTTTTCAGTTTCACATAGGTCTATGCAATCAAAACCAGCCAGATCAGCATGTTTCCCATCTCTATTATCGTAAGTAAAAAGCATTAAAGAATATCCCCCATGCATCATTTTACTGTCCTTTCTCTTTTATTTTTTATTCCTAGAAAATCACGTCAAGGCAAGTCCTTGACTGGTGGGCTCCGCCATGATTTCCTCCTCAGTACCTCACTGATTGCTCCGTGCACGTCACTTCTTTGATAGCGCGTGCTGTAACATCACAACATTTTCAGGTGGCCTTAGATACCTATCAGTTCCCATACGTTTCTCTATTCTCAAAATCAGTACACAAAACTATAAGTATTTCAATTTTACCATCCAACATCCATTTTGTCCCTCTTTCTCTACAGGGCATTGCATTTGGCTTGGCTGCAATGCCCACCATGTCACTAGAGTAAAACAAGCAGTTTGAAAAAGTTGGTCATGGAATAAATATGATGATTGAGGATCAAATTAGACGATTGGTGTACGGTAATGACTATAATTGTATTATTTAAAAGTATAGGGACTGCTTTGAAAGGATCTGAAAACCTCAACAGGAACAGAAAGCCGAGGTCTCCTCTTCCACTTCAACTTTTGAAAATTTCATTTCTTGTGTTATCCAAAGCCAGCAACTGGTGCAGCTTTCTCTCCTCCTCCTTAAAACAGTGCTTAACCAAAAAAGAAAAGAAAAACCACCAGCTTTCTCTCTCTCTCCTCAGACTTCACTCTCCTCTTCTTCCTTACCATAAGAAAACCAAGCTGAGATGAAGTCAGCAGCGGCTACACCACAGGCATTTGTAGACTGAACCAACTCAGCCAACCTGTTCCTTACGATGAATGTAGGGCAGCGGCCTCATCCCACGCGCGTTTGGAGTAATCTCCACGCGCGACCTCAACCACCACCACCACCACCACCACCAGCAGAATCGTCAGTCTACAACATAATCCCAATACACGACCTACTCACGGACCACCCTTCTCTCCGGTATCCGGAGGTCCGAGCAGCTGCCTCTTCCCTTCGCACGGTCGGCGACCTCCGTAAACCACCGTATGTAACATGGGACCCGCACTGGGACTTGATGGACTGGCTTGGTGTCTTCTTTGGGTTTCAGAACGACAGCGTTAGGAACCAGAGAGAACACCTAGTTCTTCACTTAGCAAACTCCCAAATGCGGCTTGAAAAGCCGCCGCTTGTCCCTGACGCGCTCGACCCCGCCGTTCTCCGCCGGTTTCGGAAGAAGTTGTTGGGAAACTACACTTCTTGGTGCTCTTATTTGAGGCGTAAGTCGGAGGTGATTATACCGAAAGCTAGGGATGACAATAGTCTTCGCCGTGAATTGCTTTATGTTGGGCTTTTTCTCCTTGTTTGGGGAGAATCTGCAAATCTGCGCTTCGTGCCGGAGTGTATTTGTTATATTTATCATCATATGGCAATGGAATTGAATAAAGTTCTTGATGATTGGCCTGACCCTAATACGGGTAGGGCTTTTTTGCCTTCAATTTCTGGTGATTGTGCGTTTTTGAAGAGTATTGTTATGCCATTTTATAAGACTATTAAGACTGAGGTTGAGAGTAGTCGAAATGGGAGTAAGCCGCATTCGGCTTGGAGGAATTATGATGATATAAATGAGTTTTTTTGGAGTAGGAGGTGTTTTAGGAAGTTAAAATGGCCTATTGACTTCTCGTGTAATTTTTTCGCTGATGTTGAGAAGATTAGGAGAGTAGGGAAGACAGGTTTTGTGGAGCAAAGGTCATTCTGGAATGTGTTTAGGAGTTTCGATAAGCTTTGGGTTCTGCTGATTTTGTATTTCCAAGCTAGTCTGATTGTTGCTTGGGAGAGGACTGAATATCCGTGGCAGGCGTTGGAGAGGCGAGATGTTCAGGTTGCGCTGTTGACTTGTTTTATTACTTGGTCTGGGCTTAGATTTGTGCAGTCGGTGCTTGATGCAGGGACGCAGTATAGCCTGGTTTCGAGGGAGACAATGCTGTTAGGGGTGAGGATGGGGTTGAAAAGTATGGTTGCTTTGACGTGGACCGTGGTGTTTGGAGTCTTTTATGGGAGGATTTGGAGCGCAAAGAATTCTGCTGGATTTTGGTCTTCCGAGGCAGACAGGAGAATAGTGACATTTCTTGAGGCTGCCTTTGTGTTTGTTATCCCTGAGTTGCTGGCAGTGTTGTTTTTTATTCTTCCTTGGATTAGGAATGCCCTTGAAGAATTGGATTGGAGTATTTTGTATGTGTTCACTTGGTGGTTTCACACTCGGATTTTCGTGGGACGTGGACTGCGGGAAGGGCTTCTTAACAATATCAGTTATACATTGTTTTGGATTGCAGTATTGGCTTCGAAATTTGTGTTCAGCTATTTCCTTCAAATCAAGCCTCTGGTTGCCCCAACTCAGGCTCTGTTGGATCTCGGGCAGGTGTCTTACAATTGGCATGAGTTTTTCAGTAGCAGTAACAGAATCGCTGTTGTGCTGTTGTGGCTGCCTGTTGTTCTAATTTATTTAATGGATTTGCAAATCTGGTATGCTATTTTCTCTTCATTTGTTGGTGCAGCAATTGGGTTGTTTTCTCACTTGGGTGAGATTAGGAATGTTGGACAGCTTAGGCTTAGGTTTCAGTTCTTTGCCAGTGCTATGCAATTTAATCTCATGCCTGAAGAACAGTTGCTAGGTCCTAAGATGACACTGGTGAAGAAGCTCCGTGATGCAATCCACAGATTAAAGCTAAGATATGGACTTGGCCAGCCTTACAGAAAGATTGAATCAAGCCAAGTGGAGGCAACTAGATTTGCCTTGATATGGAATGAGATTGTGACAACATTTCGGGAAGAAGATCTCATCAGTGATCGGGAATTTGAACTCTTAGAACTGCCACCTAATTGTTGGAGCATTAGGGTTATTCGCTGGCCATGCATCTTGCTCAGCAATGAGTTGTTGCTTGCCCTGAACCAGGCAAAAGAGCTGGCAGATGCACCTGATAGGTGGATTTGGTTGAAGGCAAGTCAAAGTGAGTATAGACGGTGCGCTATAATTGAAGCATATGATAGCATCAAGTATTTGCTTCTTATGGTTGTTAAACAGGGCACAAAAGAGAATTCTATTGTTGCAAATATTTTTCGAGAAATAGATGAGAAAATACACATTGAGAAGTTCACCGAGTCTTACAAGATGAATCTTCTAGAAGATATTCTTTCAAAATTAATATCACTTGTTGAGCTTCTGATGAGACCATGGAAAGATCTTAGCAAAGCAGTGAATATATTGCAGGCCTTGTATGAGATTTATGTTCGAGAATTTCCAAAAAGTAAGAGGAGCGCTCTGCAATTGAAACAAGATGGTTTGGCCCCTCATGGTCCAGATTCTGGTGAAGGGTTGCTCTTTGAGAATGCTATTGAGTTTCCTGATGCTGAGGATGAATTCTTCAATAGGCAAGTACGTCGTTTGCACACAGTTCTTACTTCTAGAGACTCGATGCATGATGTCCCAAAGAATATCGAGGCAAGGCGACGTATTGCCTTCTTTAGCAACTCAGTGTTCATGAACATGCCCCGTGCTCCCAATGTCGAGAAAATGATGGCTTTCAGTGTTCTGACGCCTTACTATGAGGAAGATGTGTGCTTTGGCAAACAAGACATTCGATCCCCCAATGAAGATGGCATTTCCATAATCTTTTATCTGCAGAAAATCTATGAAGATGAGTGGAATAATTTTATGGAGCGCATGCACAGAGAGGGAATGGAGGATGAGGATGAAATCTGGGAGAAGAGGTCTAGGGATCTCCGACTTTGGGCTTCGCACAGAGGCCAGACACTATCCCGCACCGTGAGGGGAATGATGTATTATTATCGAGCACTTAAGACACTTTCCTATTTAGATTCAGCATCTGAGATGGATATAAAGATGGGCACACAAGAACTTGCTTCTCATCACTCATTGAGAAACAGTCGTGTTTTGGATGGTCTTAACTCAATCAAGCCACCCTCTGCACCTAGACTGACCAAAGCTAGCAGCAACGTCAGTCTTTTGTTTAAAGGGCATGAGTATGGGAGTGCTCTGATGAAATTTACATATGTAGTCGCCTGCCAGTTGTATGGACAGCAAAAGGCAAAGCCGGACCACCGTGCTGAAGAGATTCTATATCTCATGAAAAACAATGAGGCCCTTCGAGTTGCTTATGTTGATGAGGTTAACTTGGGGAGAGATGGAGTGGAGTATTATTCAGTTCTTGTGAAGTATGATCAGCAGCTGCAGAGGGAAGTGGAGATTTATCGGATCAGATTACCTGGTTCCATAAAGATTGGAGAAGGGAAGCCTGAAAATCAGAACCATGCTATAATCTTTACTCGTGGTGATGCAGTCCAGACCATTGACATGAACCAGGATAATTACTTTGAAGAGGCACTGAAGATGCGGAATTTGCTGGAGGAATTTAAAGCCTTTTATGGTATCAGGAGACCAACCATTTTAGGAGTCCGTGAGAATATCTTCACTGGTTCAGTGTCCTCACTTGCTTGGTTCATGTCAGCTCAGGAGACAAGTTTTGTCACCCTGGGGCAGCGTGTTCTTGCAAACCCTTTGAAGGTGCGAATGCATTACGGTCACCCAGATGTGTTTGATAGGTTCTGGTTCTTGCCTAGGGGTGGAATCAGCAAGGCTTCCAAAGTTATCAATATCAGTGAAGATATATTTGCTGGCTTCAATTGCACGCTTCGAGGTGGCAATGTGACGCACCATGAGTATATACAGGTAGGTAAGGGAAGGGATGTTGGCTTGAATCAGATTTCAATGTTTGAGGCAAAGATTGCAAGTGGCAATGGTGAGCAGGTTTTGAGCAGGGATGTATATCGATTGGGCCACAGATTGGATTTCTTCCGGATGCTTTCTTTTTACTACTCAACTGTTGGGTTCTACTTCAACATGATGATGGTGGTCATGACTGTTTACACATTCTTATGGGGTCGCCTTTATCTTGCTCTCAGTGGTGTTGAGAAATATGCACTGAACCATAGCAGCAACAACAAGGCTCTTGGCACAATTCTGAACCAGCAGTTCATTATCCAGCTAGGACTCTTCACCGCCCTCCCAATGATCGTAGAGAACACACTTGAGCATGGATTTCTTCCAGCATTGTGGGACTTTCTGACAATGCAGTTGCAGCTAGCCTCACTTTTTTACACGTTCTCCATGGGAACTCGTTCCCATTTCTTTGGTCGGACTATTCTTCATGGGGGTGCCAAATACCGAGCAACGGGTCGTGGTTTTGTGGTGCAGCACAAGAGCTTTGCTGAGAACTATAGACTCTATGCACGAAGCCATTTCGTGAAGGCAGTTGAACTTGGAGTCATTCTAACAGTTTATGCTGCCAACAGCCCATTGGCTCGGAATACTTTTGTTTACATTGCCATGACTATATCTAGCTGGTTCCTTGTGATTTCATGGATAATGGCCCCCTTCGTGTTCAATCCTTCTGGTTTTGACTGGCTAAAGACTGTATATGACTTTGGAGGTTTTAACAATTGGATATGGTATAGTGGCGGGGTGTTCACAAAAGCAGAACAAAGCTGGGAAACATGGTGGTATGAAGAACAGAGCCATCTGAGAACAACTGGTCTTTGGGGGAAGCTACTGGAGATTATTTTAGATCTTCGTTTTTTCTTCTTCCAATATGGTGTTGTATATCATCTTGACATTTCTGGTGGAAGCACCAGCATAGTCGTTTACTTGATATCATGGACATACATGGTTGTTGCGGTTGGGATTTATGTGATCATTGCTTATGCCAGTGACAAATTTGCAGCCAAGGAGCACATCAAATATCGTCTAGCACAGCTTACAGTCATCGTGCTTATAGTACTAGTGGTTGTTTTAATGCTGAAATTCACTAATTTGACAGTTCTTGATCTTGTGAGTAGCCTTCTGGCATTCATCCCAACAGGGTGGGGCTTTATTTGCATTGCCCAGGTACTTAGACCGTTTCTGGAGTCCACTGTTGTGTGGGATACTGTGGTGTCCTTGGCTCGGCTGTATGATTTGCTGTTTGGGGTAATTGTTATGGCTCCTGTTGCATTGCTGTCTTGGTTGCCTGGATTCCAGTCAATGCAGACAAGGATCCTATTTAACGAGGCATTCAGCCGAGGACTCCAAATATCTCGTATCCTTACTGGAAAGAAGTCTAACTGATATATAACTTGAGGTGATTTCTTCTATCTCGAACATTTCATGGACTTCTGGAGTTCTCGATATTGCTATTTCTCATTGGCTGCATGTCCATTTAAGTGAATATTGTGATTGAGTTGGATTAATTTTGTGTTTCGTGTATTCTTAAGTTAATATTTACTGTTGAAGTTTAAACCATAAAGATTTCTTTTTCAATTATTGCTCCTTTTTGCCCTTGAAAACGTGAGGCTTTTTTTTGTGAAGAATCCATGGGGTGCTTCGCTGATCTTCCACGGAGATTCAAGTATTGGTCCTGTCATGAATATCCTGCTGAATGACATTTTTTGGTTGTATTCAATGACAGCTATTTCTCTGTACCGTTCCCTATAAGAGCATTCACTTTCACCCCCTGTATGTTCGGATATGAAGAGTTGTGTTACAAAAAGTTGAGCTAATCAGTAGCCTTAAGCTGGGCTTTTCTTGTGCAGTCTACTAATCTACTTTACTTGATGGAGCTCATATCAGCTTGAGACATCCTGCGGGAAATCTTGGTTTGTTTAAGTTATGAGTATCTAAAGTGGGAATTTTATTAGAGTGAATCTCTAGTTTGACCGAAAAATTTCCTAGGTGAGCCAGGAAACAGGCTGCTCAAGATGGACTGTCATTCAGTTAATCCCAAGCTGACACCGACAGCTTCTTGGAATGCCAAAACTATCATAATTATCAAGCCATCAGAGGTTAAATTGTATTCAGACTTGAAAACCTTGGTCATTCTGTATATGCTATTACTCTGATTGATGCTGGATCCTACCTGTCCTAACGTAAATGTTTCCCAAATTAGATTTGGAGAGAGCCTATTTTTGTTGCTTTCTTGCTTTTCATGCTCACGGAACATGACTTGTCATCTTTTACTGCCAATTCTTGCATGAATCATAAGAACATCACATCCTGCATCCTTCATATGTTTGCTGGTTCCAAATCAGCAACTTGCTTTTGGCACCTGTGCTTTGCCTGCTGTCAGTGCCTTTTCACATTTTAATGTGCAATTTTTTTGAGAATTGTGTGTGATCCTGAGAGTTACTGCCAGAATTGCATATTGAAAATTAATGAATTCTCGGACCTGCCTATTTGATTCAATCTATGACATTGCTCAAACAAATTTTTTATTTAATTTTGAATGATGCAAACAAATATTTGATTGTCAAAAGAATGCTTATTCCAGCTGTGTGTTAAATGAAGTTGGAGATTCCTCACAACTGCTTTCTGGATTGTGCAATGTGAGCGCTATAAATTGTGCACGCAAGTACTGCCATGCTTTATGAAAATTATGCATCTATGCAATTCTTTTTTTCTCTCTCTGCCTGGCTGATTGTTGCTATTCTTATATGAAATTAACAAAGATCTTGTTACATCTCAGGTTTCTATGTTGGACTTGAGAACAGAAGTAGACAGGGTGGTGGACTCCTTTCCGACAGACCAAGGAGTTGGTTTTATTCTATGCTGCTGCTACCTGATCTTTACCACTGTCAACTTAATCCGCTGCTGCCATATCAGATCATGTTGTTGCATTCGACTCATTTCAAGATCTTCTGCTTGTACAGAATAAATAGAAATGATTCACAGGAATTTTGATCCAGCCGCTCTTTTATTATTTTCATGACTTCGTAAATATTGTTGATATTGTAAGCTCCAGTGCTAGCTTGTTAGGAGTAGTGCCAAGTATATTGCCAGTAATTCTCTTGAATTCCATGTCCATTGCTAGTTATTCTGTTGTACTTGTGAGCATCGAATATTGATTGAATTGCATTAAATATGAATTCCGCGTAACACATTTAGAATCTTGGCTTATAAATACTCGAGTGTTTGCTGAGGCTGAGCTAAGAGCTGCATTGTTCGTGTTTTTGAATCTTCATGATCAAGGCATAAAAAAGGTGATACTTTAGGGTTCAGATTTCAGAGAACTCGTAGAAGCAGGGGCTAAATTCATTGTTTAGCATAAATGATATGACCTGCTCTCGTTATCACCTGTTGATGCTATAGCCAAACTCCACCAGCCTAAACTTGAAATGTGAGAAGGGGTCAAATTTGAACAGCAGTCTCATCGAGTTCATGTCGGCAATTGTTTTTATCGCAGCAGGAACTCTTATAGCATAGCGTATTGTTCCACCCTTTGTGTAATTAAAAATTTCTCAATTTCATCAGTCATAATAATTTCTCAATTTCTCGTGTATACTATCCATTTATTTTTTTACTAAAAAAAAATTCTCCTGAGGATTAGTCTAACTCACAGCCAAATAATATTTGATGTGTTACATGATGATTGTGGTTATTTTTTAAAATATTTTTTATTTAAAACTATATTAAAATAATTTTTTTTATTTAAAAAAAATTATTTTTAATATCAGCATATCAAAATAATTTAAAAATATTAAAAAAATATAAAGTTTTACATAAATATAAACAGGTGGTATACAAATCCCACAATCAACTTGCTAATTTGAGGTTGGTGATTGTGAAACTCATTAATTCCTTTAGTTTTCAGTGAATTAAATAGTTGTTTCTAAACAGTTTATTTCTAATTGTTTTTTCATTTTTTTTTAAATTAATTGTTTTTAAATTATTTTGATATATTAATGTGAAAAATAAATTTTAAAAAAATATTATATTAAAATGTTTTCAAATAAAAAGTTTTTCAAAAAAAAAAAACCAGTTAAAAACTGGACTACACAGATGAAATTCTGAAATTGTGAAGAAAACACAGGTAAAAGATGAGATAAGGCTCATCTATCAAATCCAACCTGACCATTAAATCTTCACTAGATTCATCAAAAATGGTTGTAATTTGCATTTTTGTACTTGAGATTTACAAATAAGGTTTTTAAAGGGTGGCACAATTAATTGAGTAAAATAATGCTAAAACATAAAATGATTCAATTTCAGAAATTTCACTCAGAACACCATAAAACTCCCCCCAGCAGTCCAAGTTATCAAGTCCTTCAGTTGCTTTCTGAGGATAGAAGAGATATGGCAGCTCTTTTAGACAACATGATGTAATGCTCACAAGAGAAAAAATAAAATAAAATAAAATTAGAGCTGGGAGGAAGAACCATGTTTAGTTTAAATTATCCACACCATTTCTCTGTACGTATCAAAGCCTGCACAGATTAAGTTCAATATACATCAAGTATCGAAAAAAAATCAGTTGTTCCTATGGATAACTAACAATTCAGGCAACGCTTTGTTGGTTCATTTACAGCAAATTCTGACTTGAAAAGTATTCTTGAGATGCAAAGGAAGAAGTTCCGTGGATGAAGAAGGTAGTCTCCAGTCCACAGCTTGCCCCCCGTCTTCTAAATCTGCTTTCTGAGATTTCCATGTGACTGATATTATGACCTTCTCCGGTTGTCCCCTAGTAGCTAAATTCAAATCACCATGATCAGAACAGACTATGACTTCTGAAGATCAAATTATAATTATACGCTTTATTGGCTGCAATATCAAATTTAAAGAATGTCAATATGCCTGCAGTCTGCAGAGAATCAAAGAAATGCCAATTAAATATTCTCCTAATTAGCTCATGTGCAGGTAATAAGATAACCACCAACCATTCATTTTCCGCATCAAAATTTTATGGAGCACATACACATGGTGGACATTTATCCCTTGAAAGAAACCAAAGATTGATAGCATGCACGCAAACATATACACATGTAATATGATGCAAATATGAAGTTTAATATGCTCCATGATGCTGTTGAAGAACAAAGCAAAAACACAAACATGCAAGCAGCATAAAAAAATCCAGATATTGGTGTTGGCATTTGCTGTTTAAGAAAAATGCTAGATGACCAAGAACTCAATTTCCACGAATAGATGTGATAATCTCAAGAAAAAGTGCTATGGTGGATCTTGATACCAGGCTCAGATACTCTAAATAACCAAACAAACAAAGTGCTCAAATTCCATAATCGCAAACTTGTAAGATAACCAAGACAATCAGAGTATTTAGCAGAACTTTACCTCAGTTGTTTTCATGCATCAAAGCAGTCATTCAGTGTCACAAAATCTTCAATGAGTTGTTATCTCTTGCAGTTCCTCGTTGCTAACTATGGGAACCTTTTCATATGCAGGACCCCCTCTAAATCTCTTTGGAAGCAAGCAACGACCACCAAATTTCTGCTGTAAGTAAATGAGGATAGCAAACAACAGGCCACACAAAGGGATTATGATGTCCCATGCAGTAGAATAAAAATCATATGTGTGATTTGCATACAGGTATGACAAATCAAGGTACCATGCGGAACTGTGAGCCCTGTAAAGGTCATATGCATGAGGCAGCAAACGAATAACAGTTGTCCCCGCATAAAACGAAGGGGCAAGAGCGTTTTCACTAGAGTTCAAGAATAAGTTAAACATTATCTGTGGGAGTAAGAAACCATCCAGAACCAAACCAGCATATGATTTAAGATCTGTCCAGGGATAATGTTGTCGGTAAACCTTATGACCTTGTAGCAGGTGTGGGCTCCTAGAAGTGTTTTTCCAGCGATGCACATACCATGCAATGAGTCCACCAACAATGTACATCGGTAAAGACAAATAAAGAACCCTTTTCTCAGAAATCCACACGTTTTTGTTGCTTCCGTCGCTCTGCCTAGCAGACCAAGTGAGTTGGAGAAGCCAGAATATCAAAAGAAAGGCTACCATCTTTATCACCCTTACTGCTACTTCATTGACTTCAAGCCATCCACCACTCTCAAGAAAAACATTTTGTTGATTACGGTTTGACAAAAACAAGGCTTCGAAATTTAATAATAGAGGTATCATATGACCCAGAGTAAGAACAAGAAGCATCATAAAAGAAATGAAGGGTAGCACATCAGGATGCCTTTTCACATGATAGAGCTGCAAACCCATAAAGATACAAGCAAGAGTATTAGAAATTAAAACCATGGTTATTTCCATATCCATTCTCCAAATGGATTCTGCAGCTTGGTGCCTATAAATCGAGTTTGAAGATATCTCAAGCTTCTCAAAGTGAAGAGGGTCTGAGTTTTTCCTTACGCTTTCAATGGTTCCCTTGATGTTACCCTGACCCTTTCCATTCAATGGAGAAAACTGGACATTGACAAGAATCTCACAGTCAGTTGAATCATTTTTCATTGAATTTCCCATTCGTGATATCAAATGCCGACAACCTATCATGCATAGAACCCCGTTCTCATCATCATACATTCCTTCAGCTGAAATTGTGCCAGAGTCATTTGATGGAAGCATACCCGTGAACACCATCTTGTAGCTAATATTTAGATGACCACTGTAGTTGTTGGTCATTGGATATGGTTCAAACAGCTGATAACCCACAAACAATGGAGTTGAAAAACCCTGTGCTATGTGTCCTTCTCCATTTCTCACTAACATATCAAACCGCATGTCAGATGAATAACCATGTGGGTATGTCTTTCCTTTACCTTTCATGGACTTCTTTTCTGCACAAGATTTATGCACCTTGTCAAGCATAGTATACTTATAAGCCAGACCTCGAAGTCGCCTTATCCGAAACTCAGAACCATGAAACCCAATTCCAGGAAAGTAGCTCGTGTCATTCACGGTTTTGTTGCTATAAATTTGCCCCACTACAACACTCTGATCTCTAATTGACAAGGTTCTGGGGAATCGCAAGGTCAATTGAATCGAGCAATCACCAACAGTAGCATTAGCTGATGAATCATTAAAATTCAAGACACGACATGCAACCACAAATAGTCTATTCCTCTTCTCATCCCAGACACCCTCGCCAATTAGCGTTGTATAAGGATCAAAAACTCTTTCAGAGAGATAAGGTCCATAAACATTAACAACGGCAGAATCTGAAAACCCAATCAAAACCCGAGCTTCACGCCCACGCTCATAGTCACATCTAATTCCCTGAATTGTCATAATCTTCGGCAAAACCCCAGAACTCCCACTAAGAGGATTACATTTACCACCATTATCACCACTACAATCACTCCCATACTCCAATTCCAATATCCTAGTATGCCTATACATTTCATTTAAACACAAACTTCTATCTACCGATTCGATAGGCAAATTCTCTCTCTCCCCGACACTATCATAAGTTCCACTAAAACCCACATCCACATTCTCTTTATCCACCAATGTATACTTGTATTCACCAAAATGAGGAATGCCCAAAATCGAAACCTGCTCAAAATAACCAAAACTATCCTGAGAATCCAAACTTTCCAAAACCCCATTAATCAAGCCACTAAAGTCACTAAAACCCACCGGATAATTAGCCTTAAAAGCAGCATTTAAAGAACTGGCACCACTGTTACCTGAACCAGATCCCACCATACACAGCTTCCCTATATTCAATGACCAGAACCCATATAGCTCAAACAGTAGATACCTCGACCTGACTGGAATTCTCGGCGGGCGGTACCGGATTCTCTTCGAATTCCTGCGATCCCGTGTCACATTACTCCAATCAAACCGAGCAGGAAAGCGAAATTTAAGAGACCCTCGAAGGGAAACCACATAAGGGTTCGCAGTTTGCTGAAGATCGAATTTTTTTGGCTTAAAAGAGAGGACACTCGGAGCCGAATCAGAGTCCCTTTTTTTGGGTATGATTTGTGAGCCACCAGTAAAGTATGCGACATCAAAATTAAGGATTTTGATTTTGTCTTCAAAGAAAGAAGGATTGTTTATGAGAGTACCTGTGATTGGTGATTCAGGGACTACGTTGTTGCAGTGTTCGGCGTAATATTCAAGGAAATTAAAGGAATTTATTGTTGGTGCAGAGGTTGCCGAGGTTGTAAGGAGAAGAAAGGCGAGG